TGTCGCAGCTGCTTGTACAGTGTAGCAGAGACTTTGTAAGAACAGAGATTTTCAACAGCCTAAAAACCAAAAGAAGATTATGAATGAGACCCCCCCAAAAAAAGAGAGAGAACTCAGATTTTTGTGCCTGTGTAATCAAAGCCAAAAACAAAGAGAAAAAAATATCAGCATTATCTGTTCAAGCCATGCACAAAACCAAAACATCAAAATAAAATTACCCAAACTACGTAGAGAAATTAAGACTTCATGATTCCTTTCTGATTTTGATCTCTCTCATGCTGCCAGATTTTGTGTACAAACAAGGTCCACCATCACCATCTGGATTATATTTCAGATGTGCTGTCAAACATGACTAGGATTTCCACCCCTCCCCCTGAATACTGTTTGGCAGTAGAACTCTTCCTGTAGGTCCATTTTGTCCAGCCTCCAGCGCACTCACACATGCACTTTTTTGGGGGGGAACACAATCATACCAAATATTTTCACTTCTTAATAATTTTAAGGTAGACATTTCAATCACTCTCTATAAATGGTAGGTAAATGAATACAGCTGCTTTCCTGTCATTTTAACTTAATTCTTTCCAAATATTTCCACTGATTCACACACTTGTGCTAAGGTGTGTAAACAAGGGGGAAAAAAAAAAAAAAAATTTAAAAAACCCAAAACCACCCCCCCACACACATTAACCATTAAATAAAGACTTGAATTGATTTATTGGGACCTCATGTGACTTAGTTGAGTATTTATCATAGTTGACTAAGATGACCGATTCTGCCCCAAAACAAACATTCTTGTGGTTACCACATTAATATAAATCGAGTTATGATGCAGCTGACCTAGACTACACCGAGGCAGATCTGGCCATCTCTAGAATACTGCTGTTCAGCTATTTAGTAATTATGTTGTCTTACATTAACTTTTTTCCCCTCACAAGAAACTCAATGAAAATGATGAAGAGAAAAACATAGACATGCTTTATACCACTGCCTATATTTAGACTTTGGTCCAGGCACACTTTAACTTGTATGCTGTATTTCAATAATTTCATTAATAGACCATAGCATCTGAAATGAATCACAATGAAGACAGCCAAATGTTCTATAAGAACTGTAAAGTTTACAGCAAGTATTTTTGGCTGTTCAGTGCTTCACACAATTATTTGAAGGAGTTGAACATGATTTTTAGAACTAAAAATCCAGCTGTCCTTTCCTTTAACTTCACCTCAACTGCATTTATACTATGAGGTGATACTACACAGAACAGGCCTAAGATTTAAAGCACAATTTCATCTGGGCAACTAAAACTGACCCAAGAATGTTTTCCTTTGCTCCAGAGGATTTATAGTGCTACATTCTGTTGACAAATTTTTTGATAGCATCAGTGAACTTGGACAAAGCTTCAATATTTTCAGAGTGCTTGCCCTTTACTCAGTTTTCCCCAAATTTTAGCTTATTTTGCTGCGCCTTATTTCTTTAATATGAAATGTTATGGTGCCTAATGCCAGCATGTAACTCTTTGTCAAAGCATTAGTAAATGTTCTTCACTCTGTTTCAGTTTAAAATCACCCAAACATATTGGCTAGCAAGTGCACAGGCCAAGACAGAGGTGAGGGGGGAAAGCAGGGCTATTGCTTTGGGCAAGAGTGTCAGCTTCAAGTGTGTTTCAAACCACAGCTGTATCACCTCAGTGCCACCTCTACTAGCCATTTCTGCTTTTTTTTTGATGGGGGGACGTGAAACCCAGCAATTTTCTTCTCCTTCACCTTTTGTTTCATTCAGAGTTTTTGCTGTCCCTCTTTCTGACAAAATTTGACTTCTAGTCATCTTGCAACAATTAGTTTGGAAAAAAGCAACAGTAATTATCACATCTGCAAGGATAGGAGAAAGACAACACTTTCAGACTCCTCACCTACACAAACCCAGTAATTCAAATCAACTTTTTAATAGCTTGTTCTGAGCAGAGTCTTCTGTTTTAACATTTATTATGCAAATAATTGCTACTTCTTGTATTATTTCCTCTACAGGTCCAAACATCCTAAAGAGTTTGTCTTCCAAAACATAAAGTGAATCTGGTTCCCAAAGATCTCCCCATGGGGTAATTCTAACCTACCTGATGTCATTTTATTTAAGTGCACATTAACAATGTCTTCCCTCAATTTTGATATAACCTTAAAGAAAGCAAATAAACAAATTAAACTATCACACAGTGCCTATATTATGTTTTTCATCTGTTAAGTGAAATGACATCTGCAACGAACAGTATTTACACATAATCATTTTGCAGATTGTTAACGTTTCCTAAGACAGAGTCCTTCCTATCCATCCATCCAAATGAAAGTCTGATCAGGACTCTCATCAATTTTTTTCCTTCACTACTACACCGTCCTACTCTTATGTCCTCCAGAAGGGCAGTGCTGCCCCATTTCAGGTTATTTAGGACCTTGCTGCAAAGGGAATTTTCTTTTTCCATTATTTTTATCACTCACTCTTCACTCGTCAATTCTTTGCACTGCCCCACTTTCTCTATCCCATCATGTATAAGCTACTTCTATCAAAATCTGTGCAATCTACCACCAATTCCAGACATCATTTCTATTTTAGTCGCAAAAAATTGGCTGCCACCCTCCCACTGCTCACTGACTACATCTCTGCCAAGCACCTTCATGTCTAATCCCATGCTGCCTCTAATGCCTGGAAAGGAGTATCCTTCAAGCTTCCTACAAAGCCTTGACACTGTTCTTCAGTTTTTCCTCAGCCACTGTGCCAAATTAAATAAATAAATCAGAAAGTTCAAAGGCAGGCTGGTACACCAGCCTGCTCACTGCACTGAACTCTAGTAGGCCTCCTCTCACTTCCTCCTATAACGTCAGATAAAGACACAAAAAAAGAAAGCCCTAAGCTTAAGAACTGATGCACACAGAGAAATTTTCCCGTGGATGACTCGGTGCTCACCAAGAGGCAGTTAAAACGATCTGTAAGTACAGATCAGGTTTCCAACAGATGCTGAACTTCATCTTTTATTCCTTTGGCAGGAGAGTATGTACCTATCTATGCACAGGCATGCTGACCACCACCACCCAACTGGGCAGAAGTCTTGCTGATTTGCACCGCTGCCTTACAGATTACTGGACCAGCCTTGTGCAGTTTTTACAAATAAGCAGGCAAACAGAAAAAGCAAGTAGTACAGTTCTGCCTTCATATTTTATCTGAAATCTCTCTCCTCTTCTGCCAAAAAAGTCTGTACTCTGGCAATTGCATAGCCATATTACTATAATCTCATTTCTCAGCCTCTGAAAACAAGTTAGGTAACACTCAAAGCATCCGTGGGTTTTTTTTAGCTAGTCATGAAAAAGCAGGATATTTCAAATGCAGCATTTAAAACCATAAAATATGTAATTCAAACTGCAAACCTGCAAGTATAAATAGATGAGTATATCACAGTCACCTATTTAAAGGGAATAAATTATATTAAGTCAATATGCATTTACATAATCATCCATATATTATACACCCTAACTAATCACAGAGACAAGCAAGCATAGTCAGCTCTCAAATTCACACTCATTTTCTTGAGCATGGACCCAGTGTGAACAGCTGGCCACCTCCTCCCTCAGTCTGCACTTTGCAGACAACATCAAACCTACCTCATTTGAACATTTAGAAAATTTCAGGTGAGCATAATAATGTCTGAAGTCCTGATCTGGCAATGAGATCCACACTTGCAGATCAAACACCTGCACCCACAGAAAATTCATAACTAACTTAAGCTATGTAGCACAGCTTAGCGCACCAATAATTTTTTTATAACATGATCACTCTAAAAAATTACTTCAGAGAAATATCTCAAAGCATACATTTAAAATATTATAAAACTAAACTATATATAAATGGAGAAATTAGAAAGAAATGGCTTATGAGTATTTATTTCTCTATTTTACCCTCCCTAGACCCTACTCCAGTAGTCCACATGTTCCAGAAATACTTTTCTCACTATTTTAATCAAAAAATTAAGATCCTGATTGTTATGAAAATGTGACAGTAATCTGCAACACAAGTAAACTGACAGTTTGTTGGCTGCTCAGTCAAGGTTATTTTTTAATTCCCCAAGGGGTATTGATGCTAGTCTAATTGTTATTGTCTACAATAACAGCAGATATTTCAACATTAGTATTCACAAGAGACCAAAGCATGTACAGAAGAGGAATCATGATAAAATACATATCTGAATAATCCAGCAAGAGTAAGATCCTGGTTTTGGCATCTTGGGTAGGCACTGTAGTGGAGAGATCTAGGCTTAAATCTCAACCCTGCCCAGGCACAGCTTTCTCTGACTCTCATAAACTGCTTTTTCATGGGCCCAGATCCTGGTAACTCTCCAGGGAACTGCTATATAAAACTGCAAACTGACTAGAAACAGAGTATGGAATGAACAGTTCAGAAAATATAATCAGCTTTTAACAAATCAAAATGCATTACATTAAGTATGTAGCTCTGTGAAAGTCCTTTTGTTAAACTGAAAAAAACTCTACACGCCTTACCTGGTAGAGCTCTTCAAGGTTGTATTTAATAGAAATGCTGCTCTGTATCGCTCCCACCGCTTCGTGAAGTTTCTGCCATGTGTCCTGAGTGTAATTATCTGGTAATTTGGGTCTTTCTGCGAAGGAAGATACAGGTAGTTGAAAACCAGCTGCCGGACGGGAGCCCGTACCAGTCCTCCTCACCCTGCTTCATTCAGTTCTGCCAAGCCACGTCGTGTTTGATCGTGGAAGTTCGGCACAAGGAGCGGGTTACAAACTCCACCCAAGGCGACGAAACCTTCGCACGGTACGTTTGGCCCCGCACACGCCGGGGCCTCGGCTCGG